ACACAGCAAGGCCTGGCAGCCAAGCCCTGTGGGTTTGGTGGGAGCAGATGCTTATATGGGAGCAGCAGCTGATGGCCCCCAGCACGTGCATCCTTGTTGACTCCAGGCCCAGCACAGCCTCCTGGGCAGCCAGCCTTAGCCTGGAGGAGCAACCCTGATCCAGAGAGGCAGACGAATGGCGACCCTGCCCCACGGGGGCTCCACTTCTTCTCCTCCATCCTCCTCCAGGCTCCACCCACCTGCTCCGTCTGCATCCCAGGGCCTCGTGAATCCCAGGGAAGCCATGAGCTGCCACATCACGCCCGGAAGCAGGCTGCGTTGGAGGGTGAGTGTGAACCTCTGCAGTGTGCTTCGCTCTTCCTCGGGTGGGAGCATGTGCAGGGGTGTGCACGCTGTGGGAGGGGCGAGGGGGGAGAAATGTCTGGGCTGGGTGGGAACTAGCACCAAGAGGCTAGGACAAGGTGGGGTGGGGACAAATCCCCGGCAGCGCTGCTGGCACAGCTGCCGTGCCCAGACCCCTCTCCTCCCCGTTGCCTGGATGTCAGCATCGGCAGCCCCTTGCCGCCACCCATGCCCCCAGACTGCCACAGCCTCCTCTGAGCGGAAAGGATCTGAGTGGACCCTGGGTTTTGGGTCAGAGGAGCCTTGGGGCTTCCTTGACCTCATTCTCTCCAGCTGCTACCACAGGCCATTTTCCCATCACTCTGCAACAGTCTGGGGTGAGCAGTGTCCCCACCCCAAGAAGCTCAGAGGGCCGGGGAGAGGGAGGTTCCCACCAGGACCTAGCCTTCGCCCCCGTCCAAAGGCAACTCCCACACTGCCCTCCACACCCCCTCAAGCCCCTCCACAAAGGACATCCCCAGAACACTACAGGGACACCCCGACATCAGGCTCCCCACTGTGCCTGGGATAGTCCTTGCTGGTCCCACACCCAAGGTCAGGGGTGCCTGCCAGTGGCCCCAAAGTGGACAAGAGGCAAGCCCTGAGAGGGAAGAGGGTAGAGGGGAAGCGGGTGGGGAGTACAGCGTCGATTGCAGGCGCAATCCGAGCAAAAGACAGGCACCACAAGAGCCAGATGGGCCAAGAAGAAACAGAAGTTCAGTAGGAAGAGACGGATAAACAGCAGACACCAAGCAAGCAGCCAAGCATATGCTTTGCAAGCAGGCAACACAAGCACCCAGTAGGGTTTGGGGGGTGGGGAGGGTACATGAGCCCACAGGGAGGGGGACATTAGGTTTGCTGTGGGCTGACTCTGCCTGGTTAGAATCAGTGATCTAATCCTTCTCCACGGAGCCTCAGAAAAATGGAGCTGCAGCTAGTGCTGGCAAGGAAAAGCAGCATTTGGCAGGGTGGAAGGTAGAGTGCTTATGCTGGTGCCTGAGAGATTGGTCTCTGGGAGAAGAAACATCGCCCTAGACTTGGAAGCCTGAATAGCCAGGTGCTGTCTCCAAGTCTCAGAGCAGAGACCCCTCAAGCTGAACCAGACTCAGAAGGGGAGCGGAGGACTGCCTCCCGCAAACCCGGGAAGTCCTTGAGCCCCGCAGGTGCCGGCTTTCCCTGCTAATGAAGCCCATCTAGGCTGGAGCCCTCAGTCTGGGTGATGTCATCCTTGTGAGCTTCAGGCAGGGAAGGGGTGGAGCCAGACTAGAGCTTTGCAGAGTTTGCAGGCTCCACCCCCGACTGGTCTGACTTCTGGGCCCTGTCTTCCCAGCTCCCTCTTGGCCACGGCTTCCTGGCCAGCCCTGCTGGAAACCGGGAGCTGCTGCAGAGCTGGAGGAGGGAGGGGGTCACTCAGAGTCACCTCTGCAGAGAGCAGGGCCTGGCAGGGGATAGGCCCTCTTCCACCCACCCACGCTTGTTCCCACATTCGAGGTTTTACAGGAACCCAGGGTCCCGGGACCGCAGCCTCAGCCTCTCCCCTCACCTAGCATGTCCAGAAATGTTCATCTGCAGTACCAGGTGCCAGGCGTCCCAGTGGAATTTCTTCTCTGAATGCCACTCCAGGGAGGAGTGGAACTGAGGGAGGTAAGCAGCACCCTGGGTTCGTTCATGCTAAGCTAAAGGAATAAAGGCTCTGCGCTGAACTGGAGCCTGTTCGAAGCCCCAAGGCCAGCCAGCCCTCCTGCAGAATGGCGCCTTCACCTCTCACATGCTCCTGCTGGACATAAGCCAGCCCTGTGCCAACTGCGGGCCTCCCTCCGATGCTGGCATTGGCCCCAGCTTCCTGCCTCCCCTCCTCCGGGGCTACCCTCACACGTACCAGCCACCATGGCGTGGAGCACTGAGGTCTCCGGACTAGGCAAAAATGTGGTCCTCCTCTGCCATCATAGATGTGTAGGTGCTATTGGGGGTTTCCTCCGACAGCCCTGTGCCTGCCCAGGGTCATACACGTGCAGGAACCAGCCCCAGCCGGTCTGTGGAACTCACCACACCACAGGGCCTCTTGTTTGGACTCAGCTGCTTGGCACAGGCCCAGTGCCCAGGAGCAGAGAGGAGCTTTCCCAGGTGCAAGCGCTCAGAAAAGCCTGGGAGCCAAGTCTCTGTGTGCCCACGTGCCCAGGGCAGATGCTCCGCTCAGTGCTAAGGCCCTCTTAGCCCTCCCCAAGCCGTTGGCTCTGTAGCCACATGTCTGGGACAGACAAAAGTGAGGATGACGGTGACACTGGCGGAGGAAAGGAGAGGGTGAGATTCCTGCAGCGAATCATAAAGCCCTGGTCTAGGGTCTCAGCAAGACTGACCAGCACAGGCCTGATTCACAGCAGGAAAATGCTGCCCCGACTTTGCCAGCTCCTGACACACCCTGATAGCCTACAGCATCATGCATATTACACTTTGCAGGCTGCTTTCTTAGATGTTGAATTGTATTCCCATAACATTGCCATAATGGAGATAAAGCAGATAGTATTTTAATCCATTTTATGGATGAGGAAACTGAGGTAGGATTTGAACATCTATTTCTGGAAGGCTTCACAAGGCATGTGAAGGTATACAAAAATAAATGAGCAAAATAGTGTGTTATGAAGCCAGCTAAGCTGACAGCCCAGACTCCCAGAGGCCTGGTATCACCATCCTTCCCTACATCACACGGTTTCCCACGCTCAACTCAGAATGAAGAGACACGGTAGTGGCTAGGGGCAGAGATTCTCCCCCACGGACAGTTGCTTGAGGAAGAGTGAGGAAAAGAGAGCAGGCAATTGTGTGGTGAAGTGGACTGTCGCCTGGCCTATGTGCCTAGGACCGGGGCACGGCCCGCACATACAGACCGTGTGAAGGCTGTCGTTTCTGTGTGCACATGTGTACATGTCATATAGGATGTGTATTCTGTTTTTAGGCCTGTACCTATGTAGATCCATTGTGTGTGTTTACATGGATGTGCTAGGAAAAGGTGTATCATTATGTGTCAGCTAACTGTATCCGGTAACATGTATGGATGGCAAATGTGCGGACCCAAAGGATAGAAAAGGAAGAGCAGGGCCGGGCGCGGTGGCTCAAGCCTGTAATCCCAGTACTTTGGGAGGCCGAGACGGGCGGATCACGAGGTCAAGAGATTGAGACCATCCTGGCTAACACGGTGAAACCCCGTCTCTACTAAAAAAATACAAAAAACTAGCCCGGTGAGGTGGCGGGCGCCTGTAGTCCCAGCTACTCGGGAGGCTGAGGCAGGAGAATGGCTTAAACCCGGGAGGCAGAGCTTGCAGTGAGCCGAGATCTGGCCACTGCACTCCAGCCTGGGCGACAGAGTCAGGCTCCGTCTCAAAAAAAAAAAAAAAAAAAGAAAGAAAGAAAGAAAAGGAAGACCAGGATGGTTATGTGGAAATGTGAGCAGGGTCTGTACATGTTTGCCAGATGACTGTAAGAGAAGCATTATACACACAGATTCAAGAATCTGCAGGTGAGGCCGAGCTTAGTGGCTCATGCCTATAATCCCAGCACTTTGGGAAGCCAAGGTGGGTGAGTCACTTGAGGTCAGGAGTTCGAGACCAGCCTGGCCAACATGGTGAAACTCCATCTCTACTAAGAATACAAAAATTAACCAGGTGTGGTGGCGTGCTCCTGTAATCCCAGCTACTCAAGAGGCTGAGAGAGGAGAATCTCTTGAACCCAGGAGGCGGAGGTTGCAGTGAGCTGAGACGGCGCCATTGCACTCCAGCCTCGGCGACAAGAGCGAAACTCTGTCTCAAAAAAAACCACAAAATTTGTGCACGTGAGCATAAGCTTGTGGGTGTGGGTAGCGTGGACTGTGTGTAGCGATGGCTAAGTGTGTAAAGAGGCTTGAGCACTAACTGTAGAAGGGCATTTCCTGGGGGGGGTCCCTGCTGAGACGCCAGCTCAGGTGCTTCTGCGCCCTTCTTGCAGCGGGGTTCTTACAGGGCCGTCCCATGAGCCTGCTCAGAGCCAGGCAGCCCCGGCCAAGCCTGTGCCACGGTGCAGCACCGCCTTCTCCATCCACGCTCCTCCCAGTTCCGCAGAAGACCCGAAACCTCAGTCCCCAGCAGATCAATTGCCGCTAATAACATTTAAATTCTGGCCTGGAGGTGCTGAGGCGGCCCCGGGAAACAGGAAGGAAAACATGGCATGGATTTCAAAGGAGGGACTTGGAGTCAACAGCTCTGATCTCTCGGAGCCTGCAGTCTCTAGCCCCGCACCCCCACCCCCACCCCACCGCCAAGCCGAAAACCCAGTCCGGGGCCCACCCCTTCGCGCTGATGCCACAGCTCGGCTGGAAGGCTTCCGCGTGGGAGGGGGTGGAGACGACACCAGGGCTGCCCCTCGAGAGCGACACTGGCCTTAACCCCATTCTCCCCGCGCCCCCACCCCCCAGGCCCCCAACCCCCCACCCCCGCCTCGCTGCAGACGGGCTGCCTTCTCTGCTCCTCTCCACCCTCCCAACCAGAGAGCCGGGGGAGGGGGGGGTAGGGGCGCTGCAGGGGCGGGTCTCCTCCGAGCAGGGGGGCCCCAGCACCCCTTCCCAGACAGGTGCCTGGCACACCCACACGCTCGCACAGAAAAGCCCCACTTCTCCTCCGCGTCTGGGTGCCGGGCCGTGCCGCGCCCTCCCCCGTGGAACCGAGATTTATAAAGCGGTAACCCGCCAGCGCCGGAGCAGCCTCTGCTTAATCCCGAAGCCAGGCCGGCGTCCTGCGCCGCGGAGGGGAGAGCGGTCGGCAGGAGCCGGGCGGAGGCGCGGGACGCGCAGCAGGCAGCGGGGAGCTCTTCCCGGGAAAGGCCAGCACCTCAGGGGGCGCTTTCTCCCCGTTTCCCCTCAGTCAAACACGCACCAGCAACTTAGAATTCGAGGCACTGCAGAGCTGGAAGGGGCCTCAGCGCTGCTCCCTCCGCCCCCTCGTTTCACAAACCAGAAAGCTGAGATCCAAAGCAAGGAAGGGACTTGGCCAAGGTCAGAGCTCCTCTGGGACCACACGGAGATGATAACTTGTTAGGGGTTTTGCAAATAGGTTTGTCTACAGTTTGGTAGAATTTAAACTTTTTTTTTTTTTTAGTTCAAATTTTCGAGTGGCCAGCTCCTCCTAATCCACACTGGTGCAGCCCTGTGATTGAAATTCAGCTGCATAGCTCTTGCTGGGAAATGCGGTGACGGAGCAGTGCAGGCGGCAGCTGCCTCCCACACCTAAGACAGGAGTTCTAAAGCCACGGTCCCTGTGTGAGTCTCCTGGAGCTCATAGTCCCTCAAATGGCAGGCAGGTTTGTGAATGTTTCTGTGTTCTGAACATTTTTCTGAAAAGGGTTCACAGCTTTAATTGATTTGCAAAGAGATGTACAGCATGGAAGAGATTGAGAATCACTTCCTTAAAGCAACAAGAAGCTAGGCTGGGGAGAAATCAGATTTTAGGAATGAGCTGCTGGACACCTTAGTAGCATTCAGAGACATGAAAGCATTGGATTGTTTCCTAGATTTAAGAGCATATATTTTGCAACATGAAAGAGCTTCTGGCCGGGCGCGGTGGCTCAAGCCTGTAATCCCAGCACTTTGGGAGGCCGAGACGGGCGGATCACGAGGTCAGGAGATCGAGACCATCCTGGCTAACACGGTGAAACCCCGTCTCTACTAAAAATACAAAAACTAGCCGGGCGTGGTGGCGGGCGCCTGTAGTCCCAGCTACTCGGGAGGCTGAGGCAGGAGAATGGCGGGAACCCGGGAGGCGGAGCTTGCAGTGAGCTGAGATCCGGCCACTGCACTCCAGCCTGGGCGACAGAGCGGGACTCCGTCTCAAAAAAATAAAAAAAAATAAAAAAAAAAGAAAGAGCTTCTATGCTCTAGAGTGCAAGTTCTTCAAGGACTTTCTTCACTAAAGTATCCTTAGATCCTGGATCAGTGCCTGGACGCAATCTCAGGTGCAAACACACAGGTGACTGATTTGTTAGTCTGCACAGCCCTTCTCTTTCCATGCCCACTCCTGCCTGGTCTCCAGCAGTCATGAGAATAGCCATCGTTAGGGAAACCCTAATGTAAGAATTGCAAGAATGACTTTGTAATTCAGTGTTGACATTCAGGACCTTTTTTGTCTCATGTTAAAGACGGATCGCCCTGGGGAAATCAAGGCAGTCCAGCCCAACCCCAAGTCCCAATCAAACGCAGTTTGTGTTGAACCCCACGACTGCCCGGCACCTTTGGGAAGCCCACTGCTTTCTATGCAGACGCAGAGCTCCCAGAAAGCACAGGTGGATGTGCTCAGCTTGCCTTGTGACGTGAATGCCTGAAAACAGAACAGGACTAAAAATTCACTGTCTGAGAGCCTGCAGCTAGGGAGCCTGAGTTCTCAGGGACGAGAAGAGAAGTTCCCAGTGTGGCAAGGACCAGGCAGACTAGCCTTGGGCTGGGCTCCGGTTCCTCCCCTCTCTGTGGATTCCCTTTGATCCTCCCCTCCTGCCCCACTTTACAGCGTCCACAGCTCAGCTGCTAAATCACTGGGGATTAAGATGCCGGAGGCAGGCGGGGAGGGCAACTCGTCCTGGGACAGAAAAGGCTCCTTTCCTGCAAGGGACGAGAGGAAGCTGGGGTTCTCAGGGCCCCTGGCTAGGCCAGCCTTCCTGCCCTCCCCCACCGGCCTCATCCCCGTTAGCTGAACCTCCCGTGGACAGGCAAGCTCGGAGAGGCAGTTGTGCAGCTGCTGCTTCTGTCTGGGGCTAAAAATAGTCTCCTCTCCACCCATGTCCAGCTCAGGCTGGGCCAGGGCTCCGAAGAGGACTCACAGGCGGGGGTGGAGGGTTTGGGAGACAGAAGGTGGGGCCAGAGACAAGTGCCCCCATGGGCAAAGACTAGGTGAGACAGGGGCAGGGAAGGTAGGGCTTGGGACTGCCTTCAGCTCTGATCTCTTTCACCCCAGAAACTCCCTTAGGAAGGAAATAGAGTTTCTCATCCCTGTGTTTCTGAGGGGAAAAGGGGGCACAGAAAGGTTGGTCAGGCTGACTTGGGTCACGTACCAGTATCTAACATTTATGAAGTGCTTATCAGACACTGTTTCAAGCTCTGCAGATGTCAAAGGACCCCATGACGTAAGTATTATTATTCCCTTTGACAGTTGAAGAGATGAAGGCCCAGAGGCATGAACTCCCACAGCCAGAGGATATGAGCGGATTCTACCTGGTGAGCCTGGGTGAAGAGCCCATGCCCCCAGCCATATCCATGGCCGAGGCTCAGCCCAGACAGGGCACAAAGGGGCTGAGGAAGAGGAAGTAAGATGCCAGGGTTGCCATGCAGGAGGGCAGCCCTGAGTGAGATGGGCATCGTGGCCTAGGGCCCACCTTCTCGAAGAGCTCATCAGAACCTTGGACACACCACGTGGCCTAGACTCAGGGCTCCTTGAGCCCGTCCCTCGGATTGGCTTCGAATTGTAGGTGAACCCTCTCTAGCTGCCACATTCACCCTTTGCATGCCCACACTTTGTCATCTCCTGAAAAGGTGCAAGAACATGATGCCCGGCTGACTCCCAGGGAGCAGGAGCCCCAGAGGTCAGCGGTGTGCAGCCACAGCAGGCAGGTCTGTCGGGAAACCACGGGAGTATAGGAGCAGGGCCGGGGGCACCTGAGGGCCTGTGGAGCCTGAGTTATTGAAACGCTTAGAGTAAAGCAGATTTAGATTTCACAAAGACAGAGGTGAAGGTGGGTGAAGATGGAGGGAAGGATTTAAAGGGAAAGAGAAAGAGAAAAGGTAGGAAGGAGGGAGAAAGAGGAAGAGAGAAAGAAAAAGAGAAACAGAGTTATCGAAGACGACTGCCAGACTGGCCTCTCTCTCAACTCAAGGAGCCAAGGAGGGGAAGGCCGGTCTGAGCAGCAATGGAGACAAGAGCTCAGGAGCTCAGAGGGGCAGGGACACAGCCCCAGCTTCAGCAAGAGCGTGGGGAACAGAGGGCAGGGAGGCCCATACAGCCCAGGATGGCAGGTGCCCATACACACAGCCTAGCTCCTGTCTCCTCTCCCACTGCCGCTTTTGAGCTCACCTTGTTTAGGGCCAAAGCACACGCCATCCTCCCACAGAGCCACTAATGCAATTAACAAAACACATTCATAAATTTTGCATGGCGTCCGGAGCTGTCTCCTTTCCCTGAACACAAGGGCCAGCTCCGGAGATGCTGTGCAGAGAGCTGCCTGACCTCTCCAGCGTCAGGGCCCCCTGAAAAACATCACGTAACCCTTAGTAGGACAGAAAGACCGTCCTCTGCTGCCAACCATTACAAAGCAGATGGGGTTGGGGTTAGGAAGTACAGACAAATCAGAAGGGGCTGAGAAGGAGGAGATGAAAGTGCATATGTGTTTGCAGAGGGCTGGGGAATAGTTTGTGCCTTCCAAGTTCAACAAGAGAGCAGTCAGCAGAGACCAGAGAATCACCACGTTTGGAGGGTTTTACCTTGTGAGCACAGAGCACAGGGTGCGTCTTCGGCAATGCAGGCGTGACTTGGCGGGATGTCGGTGTTTGTGTTTGCATGTGTGTGTGCGTGCGTGCGGGCATGTTCAGTCTGGAAAACTGGTGACTCACTAAAATAGGGAGCTTTCTGATCTGAAGAGCTTATATTCGGCTATTTTTAGCTCATCTTGTCTCTTGGCCCTTTTTTTCCCCTTGTCTCTTTTCAAATGTAGAGGAGTCTGGAGACCATGAATGCCGTGTGTGTCTGCTAATTTAAAGCCTGGGCCCAGAGGTGGGTATGCCTGAAAGTGCAGAGATGAAGGCACAGGGAGTGTATGTGTGTACAGAAGGGACACACTGACACAGACAGGGTACACATGCTCTCTTTCTGGCATGTACACACGCATACTATGCATACATGCAAGCAGGACTGAGGCCAGAAACGTCCCTGGAAACTCCGGCCTACACTCTCTTCACGTGGGCTGGTGTACAGCTACCCACTATGCATACTTCACAAGTATAACTGCCTCCCCACCCCAGCCCCTGCCTCACACGACCCAGGCAGGCACACTCCCATGAGCACATGGCCACAGGCACAGTCCAGGCCTATCTTGGGGAATGGCCCCAGCCCCTGTGCCTTGTTTCTTCTCTGCTCAGCCACTCATCCAAAAATTGTGACTTCTTCTTGGGAAGGCCTTTCTCTGCTGATTGTCAATAGGAAGCAAGAAGTGCCAGCTTCTGCACTTGGCTTCTCCTGGGACTCATTCAGCCCATCCCACCTGCCCACCACCATTGGGCGAGACCCCCCTCCCCAGTCCAGTGGTCATCTAGCTATGTGGGGTCTGGCAACTGCTTAGAGAGGCTCGGCAGGAGTCAAATGCTGTGTGAGCTCCGTTCCTCTAGCCTGGGAAAAGGAAGAAGGGAGAGCGAGCTCGGATTGCCGTCTGCCTAGGTCCAATGTGGGGCAGGGAGCAGACTGCACTCCTCAAGGCTCTAGAGTGCTGGTGGGTTCCTGACTCTGTGTAGACAGGACTGTGTGTGCAACCCAGTGTCGCAGAACAGAAATGCACAAATGCTGCCTATGACCAGCGCCTCAGTGATGCTGCGCGCCTGGGAAAGGCACCCACAGCCTCTCTTTCCGCACAGCACACATGCTGTGCACTCACCCACAGTGGCACGTGCCTGCACGCACATACTCTTAGAAGCCTGCGTGAGAGAGAACACGAGCCTTTATTACTCCAGACACCAAAGCAAGCTCTGAGCCTCATCATCCCCCGAGTCTGCAGTTTATGCACGGCTCAGAGACCCTAGCCAAGGTGGCCAAAACATAGCCATGTGTTGCTCCTTAAGCCATGTCCTCTGCTGAGGGTCTACATCAGCCCAGAGGAGGGGCCCTCAGTCTTCCTCGCCTGCCGGGAGGCCCTGTGGCTCCTGGTGTCCAGCGGGCTCAGCATCAGCTCCTGGAGGGAGCCACTACCTGCCTACTGCCCCACTGCATTCCACTCCACACACATTTTGGGGGTCTAGTGCTCTGTGCAAGGCACTCCATGTCGTCATTATGAAGGAGGACCAGCCAGAGTCCCCACCCCCAGACCCCTGCCCCAAGATAGGCTGGCACAGAAGAAGATGCCTGCACAATTAGCCATTGCAGGACTGGACTAGGCTGTGTGTGGGCATGAGGCACACAGGAGGGATAATTCTCTCTTCCTCCTGGGGCCTGGGGGCCTTCGCAGAGAACAGGACAGGGGGCTTTTGCCTGGGCCCTGAATAATGAACAGATCTCCCCAGGTCAAAGAGGAACTTCTCAGGTAGGGAACTGGCCTGCAGGAAAGTGCGGTATTGGGAAGCGGGACAGGGGATCATGGGGAGAACTCAGATCTTGCCAGCAGACGGACGGGAGCTCAAGCCTGCCTGACTGGCCTCCGGCTCTGTGGCTCTTGCCTGAAGGACAAGTGATTTTGAATTATCTACCTCTCTTCTTACCCCACACGGCAGGAAAATGTCTTTGCATCTTGAAAGATCTGGACTCCTTCTGCCTTCTGAGCATCTGTGAGCTGGAGATACTAATAGGGCCTTCCCCATAGAGATGTTCTGAAGATCAAATGAGAGACCTCATGGAAAGCTGTTAGCACAGAGCTGAGTAAGTAAGCATTGTCATTAGTTATTATTATCCTATTTTATAGGCTACCACAGTGATTCTCAACCAATTTTACCCCTCAGAGGTCATTTGGCAGTGGCTGGAGACATATTTGGTTGTCACAACTTGCAGGAGTGGGAGGGAGGCTGCTCCCGGTCCCTGGTGGGTAGGGCCAGGGTGCTGCTAAGCACCCACCATGCACAGGGCAGCCCCCACAGCAGAGCAGAGCCCACCCAGAATGCAGAGAGCACAGAGGCTGGGAAGGCCTGGGCTGGGGAGTTTCACCTTCTCCTGAAGACAGTGCAGTGACCATGATTTTCAAGCAGGGAATGACGTCATAAAATCTAAGTTTCAGAAAGAAAAATCTGGCAATGTTGTGACATGTCTAGAAAGCTCAGCCAGGGGCACTGCAGACCTGCAGATGAGACTGGGGGGAGGGAGGGCTGGGTCTGCAGCAAGACCATGAGGCCGCACATTCCAGGGTCTTGGCAAGAAGAGAGCAGGAGAACCTGCTGAGGTCTAGAGGAAGGAAGGGACAGGCCTGGGGCCACTGGGGGACCCTAAAGTTTCCAGCCTGTGGGCCTGAGCAGATGGTAATGCCGCCTTTCAATAGCATAGGGGGAGAAGACTCCATTGGGGAACTGTGTCCTCCAGGGCCCCAGGGTGGGGGAAGCTCCTCCACCAACCTTTACGTGAGCCATGCCCCTCCAGTCCACCTGCTCCCACTCAAGGGGGACCACCCTTCAAGAGACCCTCACCCTACCCATCAGTGCCCAGGAGAGGCGGGCATCCAACGGCACCATCTCTCCCTCCTTTCCCTTGCAGCTCCCTCTGAAGGAAGACCAGTGAGGCCTGCAAGATGGCCTCTTGAGGCCAAGCCACTGAGCTGCAGGACAAAGATGATCTTTCTGGGCTCCTGATATCCAGACCCCGTCTCATCTTTCAGCATGTTCAGAGTATCTGTGGCTGCTGTGGGCAGAGAGGAGGTACCAGGGAAGTCCTGGCAGACTTATCTACCAGCAGAGAGACTGAGCCTCCATGCCACCCCAACTCCCGCTGCCCTTTTGACTGAGCTCTGAACACAAGTTAGAGGAGCTGGGGGAAGCTCCAAGCAGTCAGTACATGAGCCGGTGAGCATGCGACGTGTCCCGTCTCGTGCTCAGCACTGCAGGGGACATCCCCACAAATATCACAGCTCAAATTCTCCGGTTGCAAAGGCAAGACTCACAGACAGAGAACAGTAGAAAAGTCTTCAAGAGGCCCCTGGCGTAGTCTGAGGAGCCCTGGACAGAGGTAAGACCAGAGTTCTATCCCCAGGCCTTGGGCCTGAAGCAGGTACCTGTACCTCCAAAAGCTCCAGCCACACCAAGTTCTAGACAACTTCTCATTGCCTGGATTGTGGGTGGCGCATCTGATCGGTGGGGACTGACGCCTGGAGCACTGTGCTGAGGAGGACTCTGAGGCAGCAGCAAGCCTGGCAGGACTGTGGTGGCCAACCAGTGAGGCGAACGGTAGGTGCCACCGGGATGTCACAGGGATGTACCTTCCGCTTGTTAACCCTTCTGGTTAAGAGCAACTCACTGGGGCCATTTCTAAGGACCCCTCCAGCTCCCAAATGGGAGAATTCTGTGATGGAAATGTTACATTTCAAGGCACTGGCTGGAGCACAATGAGGCAAAGCAGGAAGAGATCTGTGTGGGCTGGGATGATCAGGGAAGGCTTTGGGAAGGAGGCGGCACTTTAGTGCGGCCTCAAGGTGGGGGAGTGTGAGTAGCTGTACCGGAGGTGGGAGGACGTTTATGTGCATAAAACTGGGGCTGAGCATGGGCTGTTCTTGGTACAGGAGGGAGGCGGCTAGCATCGCTGGAATGCGCTGTCTGTGTTTAGGGCAAGTATGATTACATACGTGAGAGCACACAGTCTGAGAGCTTCCCACATGGAAAGCCACAGAGCAAAGATGACGTTCCATGCATGCTGGCTTCCAGTCCTCACAGCTCCTCTCCAAGGTAAACGCTCTTCCCAGCCTTCCCTAGCGTTCTGTGACTTGCTCAGGGCCACCGCTGGCAGGTGCGAATCCTGCGTTCAGCCTGGGCAGTGCGGTTCTGATGGCTTCGGGCATAACTTCTCTGCCCTGGTGCCTTCTCTACTCTTAGAAGCTGACCAGTAAGGAAACCCAGCAATGCAGTTGAGACACCATGGCCGGATTTGTGGATTCTAGGGACGAGGAAGAGGCAGGAACAGCTGTAGACTGAGGAAGGAGGGCCTTGCTTGAGTCATCAATCACACAAACAGATCCAAGCCAAGAAGAGGGCAAGGTGGACGTAGATCAAAGATAGGCGCTAAGTGCCATGGGCTAGGGCTTGTTTTAGACTTTCCTCAAGTCCTACATAATCTACTGGAAACAACAAAAATTGTCCCAACACTATGGGAATAGGCAAGAAGCTGTGGGAGGGCATGACATTCCAGGGACGTGGGGCTCAGCCTGTGAGGATGGGAATAGAGCCTGCCATGGTCTTAACACAAGCCCAGAGGCAGAAGGCAACTGCCTAAATAAAGATCTCATTTCAGACAAAGCTTAACCCTGCCTTTGCCCAGGGCTGCAGCCTCCAGCCGTCTCCACACTGTCCCTGCCTGGCACCTGGTGGTGCGCTGGGGAACTTTGCTGTTTCTCCCTCGTTTCCCAGCCCTCTCTCCTTCCTTCCTTCCTTACTGGGTTCATGGACAGCTCCAGCCTCCACTCAGCTTGGCCTCTCAATTCCATGGCACCCAGAAGGTCCAGTTGTGCACCGCCCTGCCCCCAGGCCCCAAGCAGGGGAAGAGGCTCTGTCTCATCTTGCTTTCTTCACCTCTCCCACCACCTTTGTCCCCACCCATCCGGAGATGCATCTGAAACCAGCCCCGGTATGAAACTCTCCAGCCTCTCTCCCAAACATCCTCGCGTCCCTGCCCCCCTTGCTCTGGTCCCACTCCATCTCAAGCGCCCTCTGTGGTCCTCCCTTCTGGTTTCTCCCTCTGGCCTCCAGGAGGCCTCTGGTGTCCGCACAACTTCCTGACATGGAGGAAGGACCAGAGCTGTAACGTGGGGCTGGAAGGTCCCAGAACCACCAGTTAGTCCTGCCCTGCCAACCTCTCCTTGTGAAGCTCTCTCTCCTGCTGTTCAGTCTATGCTCGATGACTAGAGGCCTGATTCTGAAACTCTCTTTTGGGGCCACTGGGTCAGGCAGCCCTCCTCACTGTCAGGAAATAGATCCTCATTTCTTACCTTAATTTCTCAACTGCATCTGTTCTTTCTTGTTCTGGGAAGTCGTCCGGTGTGATGCTGCAGCCATGCTACTCCTTAGCGCTCTGCTTCCCAACCAAAACAATGCTCCTTCTCAGCTTTTCCGAAGCTTCCGGCCCCAGCAGTTCTTGGACCTGGGGTACTTTCCTCCCTGCAAGCAACAAAGGAGGACGAGCCCCAGCTTCTCGAAGATACCTTCGGCTGCCTGGAAGAGGCCTGTGGAAGGCCCCACAACTCTCCGCAGACCTCGGGGCGTTGCTGTTTCTTCTCAGTGGCCCTGGTCTCCTCAGCCAGGTGAGTCACCATCATCCTTGCTCCTCGCAGACCCTAAACCTCTCCTTTCCCATCCTTCCTTCTCTTTGTATCTCTTCCGTTTACACGCGCGAACGAATGCGTGTCCACACACATATATCATTTCAGGCCTTATCTGGAGCTGTCATTGACAGAACTCAAATTGTGATAGGCAAATTGACTTCAGTGTCAGAGACAGGAAACCCGATGATGCATCTCCCAGTGTCTGGAGAGCGAGGAGATAAGAGAGTGGAGATGGGCTGCCTCGGCCAGCAGCACCGGAGCGGGGACTGTAGCCAGGGAAGCGGGGCCTCTGAGACTCCGGCTCAGGCACCAGAGTCCCGAGTACTGGGGAGCCTGGATTGATTCTCACCCCCCACGTGATGTCGAAGAACAAAAGGAGGGTGGAGCACCCCCGAGAGTGTACTGAGCCCTTCCCGAGGGCTTCTCTGAGACAACCCAAGTCTTTCCCAGCGGGAATCAGACATCTACAGCAGGGACCCTTAGCCCCCAAATGCCACATCCTACATGCAGGGCCGGTCACTGCCCTGGCAGTTAGGAGGGGATGGATGAGAGCTGCTGCCGAGAGGAGCAGCCGTTCTGACGCCATCATACCTCTGCTTGTCCCCGTTACATAAAGCTCCAGCTGACTTGGCGTAATGACTAAGAAAACTTTCCAAACTTTCCGAAGACAGTTGGTGATCCTCTACCCTCCCGGTGACTGGTGAGAACTACCCCCACAGAGAGCCAGCAGAGAGGAAGGCTCCCAGCTCCGGGCCCTGACTCATCACACACACAAACACTCCCCAGCACTCTTTCCCAAAACAGTTCCCCTCCCACCCATCCACCCTCCTACCAGGGCTGGGTGACAAAAATGAACGCCCCAGAGATCTTGCCAAGTGCTGGGCCATGCTCAGCCCAGGGAACATGCAATTCCCCATAGAATGGGAGGAGCAGACCCCCGCCCCCTCCGGAAGCAAACAGTGTCCGTTGGAAGGAAAATTGCCACCTGACTCTACAATGATCACTGTATTGTTTTCCAAATAGCTTGGACTACTTTCCCCCAAAAAAGAGTTCAAAGCTCTATAATCATAAAATCCTAGAGCTTAAGGCAATCTTAAAGGTCATCTTTAGCCCCTCTCCCCTTCCCTGCTTCCATGCATCTACACATGGATTCATTTCTCTATTTGTTCATCAGATAGTCACTGGGTTCCTACAATCTGCCATGTGCAACACAGGCTCTGGAGGCCCCACAGACATACTGTTTCCGCAAGGCGCTTGTCATCCAGTGGGTGAGAAAGCAAGTGACAAGGCGTTGGAATAAGTATGACAGGCACTGTGGTAGGAAGAGTGCATGTTCTAGAAGCACTGAGAGGGCATGTCACCCCCACCTTGGGGTAGTGGGGGGAATTCATGGAGACTTACTGGGAGATATTATATATATATGTATATGTATGTAATAAACATAAAAATGTATTATAAGTAAGTATATAAAATATATTATAAAAATAAAAATGTAAAGTATATAAATATGTATTATATAAAAATGCATATATTTTTTGAGACGGAGTTGGGCTGGAGTGCAGTGGCGCAATCTCAGCTCACTGCAACCTCTACCTCCTGGGTTCACGCGATTCTCATGCTTCAGCCTCCTGAGTAGCTGGGACTACAGGCACACACCACCATGCCCAGCTAATTTTTGTATTTTTAGTTGAGATGGGGTTTTGCTGTGTTGACCAGGTGGATCTCGAACTCCTGGCCTCAACTGATCTGCCCACCTCAGCTTCCCAAAGTGCCGGGATGACAGGCATGAGCCACTGCGCCCAGCCTGGAAAAAATTATATTTAAGTTGAGTTATGAAAAATAAGGAAATTCCTTTTCAATCAATGAGAGGTCTGCTCATCACTCAGTAAGGCCAAAGCGTAGTGTTAGGCATACTGCATGATGACGAATCTAACGTAGTGTCCACACGTAGAGCTTAATGCCTGGTGAGGGACATACAGTAAAGGTACACATGACTAGAATATTCTATGCTCCCAACAGAAAGAAAAGATACGTATTGAGGGATGGCCGTCCCAAGTGCCCTGACTTAATCATTACACATTATACACATGGATCACAATATCACATGGACCCCAAAATACCTACTAGGTATGAAAAAAACCAGAATATACCTCAAAGCACCAGATAATGCTCCTAAATGAAGGATCCGTGGAGTCCCAGGGAGGGTTTCAGAGAGGGTGAGGGGAAGTTCCTAGCTACGAAGATTTGCAAAAGCCCCATGGAAGAAATTTGAGTTCGCCTTGAGGATGGCTAGGATTTAAAGGCACAGAGGGAGAGAGAAGGGCATTCTAAGCAAAAGCCATGCTACCAGCAAAGTGTAAGAACCAGTGATATCTGGGGGAAGAAGAATACACCATTCTGACCAAGGTACACAACAGGCAGTCGGGGCAGACATAGCTTGAACACAGGCAAAGCCTTAGGACAGCTCTGAAATTTAAAGCCAGGCCCTGCAGTTTCTCGAGGCCCGGAGTGAGGAGAAGAGCAGGACTTCCAACATGAACTGCAGCGCTCCTTGCACGGTGACAGACGGCACTTTCCCCTTGTGAGGCTTTGGCCCCTGCCTGCTGGAGGAGCCCTGTGACTGACCCTTCCCCTGCCCACGGGGTCTCTGGATGCAAAGCAAGAAGACCCCAGGCTAACAATCCAGGCTGTTCTACTCTGGCTTTTGCATTTTTCTTTCTTTTTTTTTTTTTTGGATAAGTACATGGCCAGACAAGGTGGCTCACACTTGTAATCCCAGTACTTCGAGGCTGAAGCAGGAAGATCGCTTGAGCCCAGAAGTTTGAGACCAGCCAGAGCAACATAGTGAGACCTCATCCCTACAAAAAATTTTAAAAATTAGCTGGCAGTGGTGGCACACACCTGTGGTCCCAGTTACTTGAGAGGCTGAGGAAGACAGATTGCATGTGCCCAGGAGTTCAGGCTGCAGTGGGCTATGGTTGTGACATTGCACTCAGCCTGGGTGACAGAGCGACATCCTGTCTCTAAAACACAGTCAATCTATATTTTTAAAAACTCTTTTGAAGAGGGCAGCAAAATCCACCTCACTGACTGAACTAGGTTCTCACCCTGGCTCCTAACCAGCCCAGTTTGAAATATTTGGAATTCTTACAGCTGTTCTTTCTTCTTCCTCATCTCCACCCAAATACACTAACCTACGGCTTTCAGTCTTAACCCTTTATTGCTTTCTGTACATGCCCAGTTCAGGCCTTACATCCATCTGGGTATCTCTGCTTAAGACTTCAAGTTCTTGAAATACTGGGATGCTGCCTGTAATCCCAGCGCTTTGGGAGGCCGAGGAGAGAGGATCTCTTGAGGTCAGGAGTTCGAGACCAACCCGGGCAACACAGCAAGACACTATCTGTACCAAAAAATTTAAAAATTAGCTAGGCATAGTGGCACATGCCTGGTGTCCCAGCTACTCCGGAGATTGAAGCAGGAGGATCACGTGAGTGAGGGAGGTGGAGGCTCCAGTGAGTCGTGATCGTGCCATTGCACTCCAGCCTGGACGACAGCGAGTATATATACATACTGGGATATGTACACAAAATTGCCGTGGAAAGCTAAGCGTGCCGGTTTGGGGAGGGCGGGGGAGGAAGAAGGAGCTGCAACAGTGAGAGGCCGCCACACGGTGGCGCAGTGAGGCTGGGAAACGGTGCACCCCGGGCGGGAAGGGGACACGCCCCGTCGCGGCCACGCGGGGTGAGCAGGAGGCGGCGCGGGCTGGCTGGTCTCTCCCGAGAAGGGTGCGTCTCAGGGCTTGTCTATGGACGCCTGGAACATGGGAAGACGCACAGACATGGGTTTCGCTCTTTGCTCTCCTCTCTCCATGTAAGACCTCTGTGACCAAGAGAGGCCCCGGGGCACCTGAAGGCCCCTGCAGCTGGACCCTGCTCTGAGAAGCCGTCCCGAGGCTGGGAGAGGGAGCAGCCGCGCGCAGGTGGAGGGCCTGGCCACAGGAGGACGTGCACGCGTGCGAGCGCACTTGTCCTTGAGGTGCAGAGACTGGCCAGCAGGGTCAAAGATGCTTTTTTTCTTAGTCTAATGAGCTCTTGGAAACAAAGCTAATCTCTGGAGAGAAGACACATCCTGGACATTTGCAGCCGGCCTGGAATTGAATGTTTTAAGAGCCCGTCCTACCAGACGGTTGGAATGCTTTTTTTTTCCCTTTTTTTTCTTTTTTTTTTTTGGTAGAGACAAGGTCCCTCTATTACCCAGGCTGGTCTTAAACTTCAGGACCCAAGCGATCCTCCCGTCTCAGCTTCCCAAAGTGCTGGGATTACAGACAACAGCCGCCATGCCTGGAGGTTTGAATGCTTCTAAGAAGCACAGGACATTGATGATTACACATTGTATCCGTGTATCAAAATATCACATGTATCCCACATGATAATGTACAATTATCATGTATCAATAAAAAATATAAGCACAGGAGAGCTTCCTTTCTGCTGTTATCCACAACCCTTCCTACACATAGACTGTACACATCAAAAATGTTCCCACCACAGTCCATACTTGCTAAATATATATTCCTGGCCGGGCACAGTGGCTGATGTCTGTAATCCCAACACTTTGGGAAGCCAAGGCAGCATAGTAGTTCAAGACTGGCCTGAGCAACATGGCAAAACCCCATCTCTGCAAAAAATACCAAAAAAAAAAAAAAAAAGCCTAGGGTGATGGCATCACCTGTAGTCCCAACTACTCAGGAGGCTGAGGTGGAAGGATCACTTGAGCCCGGGAGGTCAGGGCTGCAGTGAGCCGAGATCACGCCGCTGCTTTCCAGCCTGGGCAACAGAGTAAGACCCTGTCTCAAAAAAAATAAAAAGTGAACTGGGCGCGGTGGCTCACGCCTGTAAATCCAGCACTTTGAGAGGCCGAGGAGGGCGGACCACGAGGTCAGGAGTTCAAGACCATCCTGGCTAACACGGTGAAACCCCGTCTCTACTAAAAATACAAAAAAAAATTAGTTAGGCATGGTGACGGGTGCCTGTAGTCCCAGCTACTGGGGAGGCTGAGGCAGGAGAATGGCATGAACCCGGGAGCGGAGGTTGCAGTGAGCCGAGATGGCGCCACTGCTGTCCAGTCTGGGCGACAGAGCCAGACTCCATCTCTCAATAAAGAAATAAATAGTGAAAAACAAAATTCTACCACTGTCCTTTCCAGACACTGCTCAACAGCTTTCTGCAAAATGCTGATCCTAAGCACGTCTATGCATGTGTTACTGGAGGGGGTCCCAATCCAGACGCCAAGAGAGGATTCTTGGATCTCACTCAAGAAAGAATTCGGGGCGAGTCCATAAAGTGAAAGCAAATTTATGAAGAAAGGAAAGGAATAAACGAATGGTTGCTCCATAGGTAGAGCAGCTCTGAGGGCTGCTGGTTGCCTGTTTTTAATGGTTATTTCTTGATGATGTACTAAACAACAGGTGGATTATTCGTGCCTCCCCTTTTTAGACCATATAGGCTAACTTCCTGACGTTGCCATGGCATTTGTAAACTGTCCTGGCGCTGGTGGGAGTGCAGCTGTGAGGAAGACCAGAGGTCATTCTCTTTGCCATCTTGGTTTTGGTGGGTTTGGGCCACCTTCTTTTCTGAAACCTGTTTTATCAGCAAGGTCTTGACCACCTGTATGTTGTGCCAACCTCCTATCTCATCCTGTGACTTAGAATGCCTAACCTATGGGAGTGCAGCCCAGCAAGTCTCAGCCTTTTTTTATTCATATTTTAAATCTGCAAACAAAAATATTCCATGGACGTATGTTTTCTACTTTTTTTTTTTTTTTTTTTTTTTTTTTACCAAGGCCCCATTCAAGATGGAGTTGCTGTGGTTCAGATGCCTCTGACACACCGATGCGCACAGATCCATCTTCATCTCAGCAACGTCTCTCACACACAGAACCACTGCAATCCTGTGTGTCTCCTCCAGAGAGGGTTCCTCAGACAGCCATGTGTATTTCTCCACTCGGAGAGGTAGGTTCCCCTTCCCACCTACGCACACAGAGGCCAGGAGGACAGACGCAGGGCGACGCAGAGGCAGGGATAACAATTCCACGTGGGTGGGGGCCCGTGCCGTTTGCCCCCGCGAGGAAAGTTTGTTTCCTGCCTGTGTGTGCTGTTCTGGGCCCTGCCTGGAGACGGGGGTGGAGGAGGAGGGCGGAGAGCAGCTTCTCAGAGTCAGGCCCCTTCCCAGCTGCGAGGGCAAACAATCCCGGAGAAGAGGATTGGGAATTCTCTGTGAGGGCAGGAGAGTGTGAGGAGAACACACCCGGGAGAGGCTTGGCTCGGGCGGAGTGGAAAGGATTGCCTGAGAACGTTGAACTTGGCCTTCGCAGGGCAACCAACAGTCAGAGTTTTCACTGATGCCAGAAAGAGAACTTAGGAGTGTGTGGGTCAGTGCGTGTGGGTAAAAGGGAGGGAGAGGCAGGAAGGGGACGAGGACAGATATCTAGGTGGAAGTAAGCAACTGAGAACATGTACAGAGTCAAACAGCAGGAGCAAAGGGGTAGAAATAAGGAATCTCTAACTTAGAAGCGGAAGAATGGGAAGAAGAATAAACAGCGAGAGGCAGGGGATAAAATCTGGGAAGTACACAGAGAGAAAGCGGCCCAGAGCAGAGAGCTTGCAGGTGGAAGGAAAGAGGGCAGGCGGGCGGGAAGCCCCAGACCTGTCCAGAGCCCCACCACTGCAGGAAGGCACCGAAGGCCGGGAGGGCAGCTCAGCTCATCTGTTACTTACAAGCACAAGCTCCCCCCAATCCCGATTAACAGGAATTACGTGGCATATGGCTAATCCTCCTGCCACAGTTATTAATACTTTCCAGACACTGCGAGGGAACCAGGCAGCCTCCTTAGGCCCAAGGCTTCCCCCAGCCTGGCAGGGCTGGCCACCCCCGCCTGCTGCAGTGGGTGCTGTGGCCCAGAGGAGGGGAGGGGAGTGGCTGGAAAGCTTTCTCTAAGTCCTTCAGGCGACTGGATCCTGTGGAAGCACATGCCACGAGCTCTTCCTTTTTCCAAAATCCATGGGTATGTTGTTTGCTTTAAATAGTCACAGAAAACTTGTGATAGAAGGAGAATATATGATATCATTCCCATTAAAAACTGCCAGGCACAGTGGCTCAGCCTGTAATTCCAGCACTTTGGGAGGCCAAGGCAGGCGGATCACCTGAGGTCAGGTGTTCGAGACCAGCCTGGCCAACATGGTGAAACCCCGTCTCTACTAAAAATGCAAAATTAGCAGAGTGTGGTGGCGCGTGCCTGTAGTTCCAGCTACTCGAGAGGCTGAAGCAGGAGAATCGCTTGAACCCCGGAGATGGAGATTGTAGTGAGCCGAGATTGTACCATTGCACTCCAGCCTGGGCAACAAGGGAACTCCATCTCAAAAAAAAAAAAAAAAAAACTTAGGAAGCTGGGAGTGGTGGCGTGTGTTTGTACTCCCAGTTACTTGGGAGGCTGAGATGGGACAATTGCTTGGGCCTGGGAGTTGGAGACCAGCTTGGACAACACAGTGAGACCTCATCTTTATTAAAAAAAATTTTAATTAGCCAGTCATTGTGGCACACACTTGTAGTCTCAGCTATGAAGAGGCTGAGGTAGGAGGATTGCTTGAGCCCAGGAGGTTGAGGCTGCAGTGAGCTATCATTGCGCCACTGCACCCCAGCCTAGGTGACAAAGCGAGACCCTGTCTCAAAACAAACAAACAAACAAACAACAACAACAACGAAAACCAGGAACACAAATCCAAGAGAAGGGAAAGGATTTAATCAAGGACTTCTACTCAATAGCAAAGTCTGGCTGTCCTCACTTCCAGCCTAGTGGGTGGAAACTGGAAGCTAACTCGCTGCTCCTGGCTTAGGGAGACATAAAAAGATGAAGAGGAGGAGGGGAAGAGAGCAGGGAGAGGAGATGAATTTCTGAGAGTGACTAGTGTGGGGCCAGGTGTCCAATGAGCACTTAATGAGTGCTTTGTAATTGATGACTTGCTGGGTTTTGCTGGGCTTTGTCTTAGGTGAGGTGCAAAGTCGACCGGGAGAGGGTTTGTGAGGAACAAATTGCTCCTGTGGGAAGTAACAGAGGCGTGTGGGAAGCAGGGAAGGGAAAGAAGCCAAACAAGAGTGCCATTTCAGACCCGTCCTAGCCTCAGCCGACCCTGCGGGGGAGCTCTGGGACAATTACTCCTCAGTTTGTCCCAACTGGAACCCAGGGAGCTGTGTTTCCATAGATATTGCAAGGGGGCAGAAATTGCCAGGCATTTGCAGTTCCCTGAGCATGATGGAGAGGTAGCTCTGGTAACCCCAGGCAGTCCTCTGAAGAGAGCTGTGGGTGCAGGTCTTTAGAATCAAAGGAAACGGGCTGGGCATGGTGACTCACGCCTATAATCTCAGCACTTTGGGAGGCCGAGGCAGGTGGATCACCTGAGGTCAGGAGTTCGAGACCAGCCTGGCCAACATGGTGAAACCCCATCTGTACTAAAAATACAAAAATTAGCCAGGCATGGTGGCACACACCTATAATCCCAGCTACTCAGGAGGCTGAAGCAAGAGAATTGCTTGAACCCGGGAGGCGGAGGTTGCAGTGAGGTAAGATTGCGCCACTGCACTCCAGCCTGGATGACAGTCTCCAAAAAAAAAAAAAAAAAAGAGGGGGCAGCGGAAGGCTGGGCGTGGTGGCTCACACCTATAATCCCAGCACTTTGGGAGTCCGAGGCAGGTGGATCACGAGGTCAGGAGTTCGACACCAGCCTGGCCAACATGTTGAAACCCTGTCTCTACTAAAAATTCAAAAATTAGCTGGGCATAGTGGCGGGCGCCTGTAATCCCAGCTACTCAGGAGGTTGAGGCAGGGGAATCGCTTGAACCTGGGAGGTGGAGGTTGTGGTGGGCTGAGATGGCGCCACTGTACTCCAGCCTGGGCGACGGAGTGAGACTCTGTCTCAAAAAAAAAAAAAAGGAAACAGAAGAGACAGAGTGGTGGCAGGGTCTGCTACAAACGTAAAGCAAGTGCTCTCAGACCCTCTCTACTCTACTGACAGGTCATCAACTTCGATTTGTAAAATGTTTCTCCCCTTTAGGAGTTCACAGTCCAGCAGCAAGACAGTGGCATGCTATACGCCTGTGTTCATATAGAATGTACACAGTGATAGGTGCTATTTCAGCGATAGAACACAGAGCACATCATTGAATTCTGGCCAGGGTGGGTCAGGGGAGTATAAAGTGGGATGGGACTTGCTCTGTGCCATGCCCTCCCATGTTAGAAAGCCTTCCATGGCCGGGCACTGGGGCTCACGCCTGTAATCCCAGCACTTTGGGAGGCTGAGGTGGGCGGATCACGAGGTCAGGAGATCGAGACCATCTTGGCTAACATGGTGGAACCCCGTCTCTACTAACATACAAAAAATTAGCCAGGCGTGGTGACACATGTCTGTAGTCCCAGCTACTAGGGAGGCTGAAGCAGGAGAATCGCTTGAACCGAGGAGGCGGAGGTTGCAGTGAACTGAGATGGCGCCATTGCACTCCAGGCTGGTGACAGAGCAAGACTCTGTCTCAAAAAAATAAAAAAAGAAAAGAAAAGAAAAAACAAAACCTTCCATAATGCTCCATCTCCCATGTAAAGCATTCAAAATAACTTAGCATGAGTATCAAGGCCCCATGGCAGATACCCATCCACCTACCATACGATCTGGAAGTCATATATTTCATTTCTAAAATATACCCTTTAATTTTGAAAGTTTAAGCTTAATTATCCTTTACTGACCTTTCAATACTCTGAATTTCTTCTAACCCTAGCGGTTCCTGTTATCATTGTCCAGTATTTTAGTTTTTTTAACCCTCCCAGATAGGTATTACTCTCTTCGTCTTATAGAGTCGATATTGACCTACATATGTTCATCTGCTTCCTACATTTTTTGCTCATCGTTGCTCTTTCATCCCATTGCTTCCTCTGGGTGTAGATTTGCTTTTTTTAACTTAAGCTTTTCTTTTAAATCATTCATTAGTATTTTTCTCAACAAGTAAAGAGGTGATAAACTCTCTCAAATTTTTTCCCTTTACTCTTGAATCATCACTTAGCTGATACAGAAACCTGGACTGACTTATTTTTTACCTTAGCACTTTGAAGCAATTATTTCGTTTTGTTCCAGCTTCTATTGTTGTTTTCTAGCAAATAGCTGTCTTTTGACGGTCACTAACCTTGAGATTTTTCTCTTAGTCTTTGAGTTCTGTCTTTCACTGTGTTATGTCTAGGAAAGACCCATGTGGCTAGGTGTGACAAAACAAAATGAGATATCTCTTTATCCTGGGGTATCCTACTTAGGATAGCTTCTTCAAACTAAGAACTCGTGTCTTGGCTAGGCGCAGTGGCTCAAACCTGTAATCCCAGCACTTTGGGAGGCCGAGGCGGGTGGATCATGAGGTCAGGAGATTGAGACCATCCTGGCTAACACGGTGAAACCCCATCTCTACTAACAAAATACAAAAAATTA